TATTTCAATTGTACACTATATAGTATGTTTAGGATAAGACCTTCATATATATACTAGCCAAACATCCATTCTAATTAGTTATATATGTTATAATAATGATCATTTTTTATGATCATCTTTAAAATTCTCAAGATCAATGTTCAATTTAAATTTGTTTCTGTTTTATTGTTGAATATATAGGATTTAATAGTTTTATATATTGATCAATTTTGTCCTTTAGATATGATTGAATATACCTTGTAAAAGCTGATATAGAATATAATTTAATTAATAGTAAATATCAAAAGAATTTTTTATAATATTAGAAAATTACTCATGTTCAAAGACTGAAGGTATATTAGAAAATCCATATAAATTTATTTTTTAACTTTCTAATCTTTAATGTTAATAATTATTACTTGCTAGTTGGCAAATCTTCTGCATTATTATTTGGATCTTGAAGATAAGGTTGAGGCTGATCAAGAATATAAGGTAAACCTATATTATGTGCTTTCTTTAAATATGGTACCTGTTTATAAAGTTTTAATGATACATCTTATAAGAGTTCAAAGAATACAATAATTTGGGTCATTATTTAAATGGCTTGCTTCTAACATTTCTCTTTTATACTGGTCAATAAGAATTAATGATTTGAATGTTATATATTTCTCTAATTAATAAAAAGTTCAAAGATATTCTAAGCTTAATCACTATAGTGTATTAGTGTAGGTACGTAATAAGTAAGTGACCTTCAATATGTTATTATTTTCTAATCAGATAAAGATTAGTTTTTTACACTATATATATAAAAATTTTGTAAAGGTTCATTGTGAAGTTTTATGAGGTAAGGTTTATGAGGTTATGAGATTTTGTGAGGTTTATGAGAAGTATAGTTTTAAAATATAAATAATAAATATTATTATTATTATTTTTTTTTTTTGGTAATTTAAGGTTAAAAGTTAGAAATTTTAAAATAAAAATTATGTGGGAATATGGCAAATATATAGAGATAGCCGATTGCAGTTCTGAAAACTTTAGCCTGTATATTACATAATAAACATTAAGCTAAGCATCTAAATATTTTACTTGCGCCAATGTATCAGGCTGTAATGGGTGGCAGTGCTGCAAAAATACGGGTCAATATTCATATATTTGCGGCAGTGCTATAATGCTTTTATTTATACTTGTGGCTGAATCCTTTAATATTTCTACATTTAGTAATTTTGATTACAATTGATTGAACCAATATAATGATAACAATTTTTAATTATATCAATAATTAAAATTTATATTATTTTGAATTTTTTTTAGTATTAATAGAGAAAAGAAAAGTGTAACTAAAAAATTAGAATTAAAAAAATTATTAAGGAAATAACAAATTTTTTTTAAATAAAATAATGCAAACAAAGGATATGCATAAATAAAAATAAATTTATTTTTGCAAAATTTATGATCAGGTATAAATATGAGCATCCATAACCTTACCAGAATTATGACAATTTTGGCCTACATTATATGTTTAACTGACATTATATGCAAAAAAGGGTTACTTTACAGTATTGGGGTAAAGAATTTAATAATATCAGAAAAAAATTTACCCCAAAATCAATTAACAGTTAGTCCTAAATTAAGTCAAATTTTGTTAAACTACCTGGAAGAAATTTTAAGAAATGCTTTTGACGTTTGTATTTTCTGAAATGATAAAAGCCGATAGTCCATGGTGTACCAACCAATTCATTGTAATAATGAGTAAATTCGATCAAAAAATGACTCTAACCTTTTTAACGAAAAATTCCATGCTACTGTTCACTCATTTTTAATGTTATAAATATTAATCTGAAATACTGTGCAATTGAGATTAATAATTAAATTAATAAATTTTATTAAATTTTCTTGAAACTCTTTAATCTTCTTAAAGGAATGATTCATTCCATATTTTCAAAATATAAACTTTAACTGTTAAGAAAAAGTCAAAAAGACAATTATTTGTTTTATCTGTTTTGCAATGTAAATAACAACCGCCTGAAATAGATGATTTTTACGCAGAAATTTGCGCGCCCTGATCACGAAATTTTTGGTATTCAATGACCAAAAAAAAAATTTTTTCTTGTAAATATTGTCCAAAATTACTGCACATAAAACTACATACAGAGAAAATGAAATGCAAATGAAAACAAAAGTGCAACCTCAATCCAGAGTTTACCAAACACTTTGAAGAATAGCATCTATTGTTTTACTACTTATATTTAATTATGTTATAACGGCTTGGGTTAGGTTATTTGGAGATAAGAGTAACTCCCTATTTTACCGCGAAAGAATTGAAGCCGATGCGCAAATGTGTGAAAGTGCAAAAGAAACCGAAGAAGATCCTCATGAGCATATGGATATAACATGCGAGAAAGTTTGATAGGGGGAGATACTTCGACGCAAGTATGAAGATAAAGGAGTAATATTACCCTGGTTCGATACCGATGAGGAATGGAAAAAAGTTATGATTAGCATAGTACTTCAGGAGAACGCTTCAACATTTTTTGATGGCCGAAGGTGCGAAGGTAAGCGCCACCAGCTTGCGTAAACATTTTTCGTATTGAAGTTTTATCCACTGTCAATAAACTACATACAACAAAATAACTTACATAATGCCGATTGACATTATGTCTGCTATCGTTACCAGGTTCGTGAGAGAGAACAAGTTCAGCTCAGAGATGAGCCTTGACGAGCTAGCCCACTATGGCTTACTCCTTCCCATTTACGTAAAATGAGCGCAGTATTCGCAGTAGTTGAACATGGTGCCAGAAGTACTTCGGCACAATCCCAATAATAACACCTCTCCTGCGCAGAATTATACTATAGTCAATTATCGCGGAAGGGGGGAATCTTACGACCAAGCAAAGCCGTTTAAACTCTTTGACAAAAAATAATCATATGGACACGCGTCCCGAGAAATCATCCGAAGTGAAATTTATTTTTTTCGAACAAGATATAGTATGTATAACGCATTTATCTGTTTAGACGTTCGGTTAGAACGAAGGAAGGATGGTAGCCGAACACAAGTATTATCTGATTGTATGATCAGTATACTTTCCATTAAAGTTAACGCGCTAGAGAAAAAAATTAAGGATTATAGCTCCCGTCTTAAAACACTTGAGGATGATGATATTGCTGCAAATTATGTGTAAAATACTGGCCAACTTTAATGTCACGGCCTGTAAACTAACGAAGACACAATTTGTTGATAAGATAGTATCATTTCAAAAAACATTTGAACAAAACCATGAACCAATGTAAACTTCGAGACGTGGCTGTTAATAAACAACATGGTTTCTTGCAAGTGTCAGAAACGCCGAAGGTCAAAGGTTAGAAGAGTCAGTCCGGAGCAGTGATCAGCAGGTCTACACTACGCGATCATCAGCTAGGAGATTTCTAATCATGTGAGTTGGCTGTGTTTGTGCTACAGAAGAATTTCGAAAGAAATAAATACACTAACTAGCACCTTTTTCTTTTCCCCTAAACAAACGCGAGAGGAATGTGAAAATGCTTTGTTGCAACACAGGACCTACCATATATGTTAATATTGTCGGCAAAACCATATGCTATGAAGGGCTGAGGACTTCGCAATTTCCGAGATCTACACGAGTTATCTAACTTTGAGTCTTGCAGTGGAGATCGTTAAACTAAATGGAATCAAGATTCCGATTTCATGTACCTTCAAAGGTTTCTTGGCATCATATGATAATGATAATCATCTTCCTTGTCTTTAGCGTTCGGTCTTTTTATTTTTCTGCGGACTACAGCAATGAGATAGAAGTTCAGTCAACCTTCCGGCGAAAAAGATAAGGTGCGTATATGAACATGTTATTTTTATAGAAAAATGTTTCGAACTTCTTTGCATCCATACAAACGAAATCCATTCATTATTGGGCTTTATATTTAGGAAAAACAAAATTCCAGAAATCCTATTTAATTGTTTTGCTGTTCCTAGTGATTTGGTCGGGATTATCGGAGTTCAACATATCGCTGTAGTCAGGATTGACGACAAGGAATCTATTCATTTTCTCAGAAAAGAAATTTAAAAAGCATGCGCGCCCCTATTTGATAATATTCCGATTACAAAATTCGAACTCCGTTCGATTAACTATGCAGACAGTGTTAAAGCAATACTTTACGAGCCTAAAATGTTGAAGGGCAAGCGTTGAACCCAATGTCTAAGATTACCAAATGTTTTTCCAAGAACATACCTGAAAAAGACATTCACGTTATAATCTATCTAGATATTCCAACACCCGCACCTGATAGTTAGGAATATTTTTGTCTTTTATATAGGAGAAATTTACTTGGAAATAAGAATTAAAACTGTCAACAATTAGAATTTAGGAATAATTTAAACCTGCTAAAATACAGCACCATTGAAATAATCTGAGAATAATTTTTATTTGAGAAATAAGACTAGATGAATCAACTTTAAAAAGTTTCTCTAATTCTCCATCTAAAATCTCTCTTCTTTTTAAAAATTCAACTACTGTTAGTTTTCATAGGGTATTTTCCAATATATTCAAAGTTTAAAATAAAATAAAACGGGAATTGTTCCGTCTTACAGCCCAAAATTAAAGACGAAAAATTAATTTAAAACATAAATTATAAAAAATATGGCAAGAAAAATTTTACACATGTTGTAACAAAATAAATACAATACTGTAAGCCGGCTTCCGGCAATGATTTATTTTTAGAAATAAAGCATTGATACTGTTCCTTGTCGAATACTCGATAAATGTCACGTGCGATGATGCCATGTTAAAATTGTATATTCACGCCAGAACCGAACGTAACACATTTTTTTTTATCCGAACTGGACTACCTATAAAAGCACTATGTCCGAAACTGCCTCTACTTCTATTTCTGCTACTGCCACGCAAGCAGATGGTTCAGGAAGTTAATGACCGTGACTTTCTTGACTTGGTCCAAGAAGTCCAACGCTGCGTAATGGTGTGAAGAAGAGGGGGCGAGGTTAGAGGAATATCGTTCGAAAAAAAATTGTGTATATTAGCATAGACGTCATGTATAGCGGGCAGAGTCCCGAACCTTCGTATTTATTTTTCGTGTATTAATAAAGCAAGTCTCACAATTAACCATATTTGAAAAGACTAAAACTAAACCTTCCACAGGATGTGTTAATGCGTCCAATAGAGCATTGTGTTCTAATACGCCGAATGCTTCTGACTGAGAAAAGACGTGAAACGATCCATTTTTTTCTTGTTCAGATAAATTGGGAAGGCGCTGGGTGAAGAACCTAAGAAGGATATTACGATGTGTCCTTGAAAGTTTATCCCAAGCATCTCTACTATAACAAACCATGAAATCGTGTCCATCACCGATACCTGAAATGTCGTAATCATCATCAGAGTCAACTTCATCACCATCCCAAACTTCGTCGTCGCCGTCATCATCCTCTTCATTAACGTAATCATCATCTGACACGGATTCATCATCGTCATCGTCTATTAACCCTAGAGTCTCGTATTCTGCACTAAGAACGAAATCGTTTGGTAATATTCGTTCCATAGCTACGGTTTACACGAAAATACTTGTCTCCATTTGCCGTTCTTCTAAAATATTTCTTGCCGCGTATGTAACACCATCAATCATGTCTGTTTGTGATAGTGGAACAGCAAACCCATCCGAGCTTGAGGTTTTTTTGAGACAGCACAACACTGAACTTGAGGCCAAGGTTGCCGAGCTTAAAAACGAGAATGCGAGGCTCAAGCATAAACTAGAGAGTTGAATTGAGGATCATGAGATCAGACTCGCGAAAGTGGATCAGCTGTTGACACGAAGTGTGTATCTTGAATGGATTCCAAAACCAATAACGCCAGTTCCACAGAGAAAAGCTTTAGCGTGAATCAACTGCTCAGGAGACACCCTCGAATACTGTCTCCATAACTTTTATGAGCGAAAAAATGAGCAGGGCCCTTCGGTGGTGGACGAGCAACCACAGGACGTATCGGCTGTTGACCAGACTCCGTAATAGACGCAGCTGAGCGCAGCGAGGACCAGTCCAACAATGTAAGAATGAGAAACCACAGAATATTAAGGAAGCGAAGTCAACTGTTGATGTGATGCCCGAAGGCTTCTCCGCACCCAATAACGCAAATACCAAGTCAACTGAGGATGAGGAGATGATTACTTTCTTGATTGAGCAGCATAAGAAGAGCGTTAGTGAAGAGATAAAACAGAGAAATAGGGAGAAGAAATTCAGTGTGAATCAACTGCGTCTTCGGTTTCCCAGGATACTGTCTCTGAAACTTGAAAAAATGAGCCGGGCGCAGATTCAAACTCATCACGTGATATAAACCTGTTAACAATGTTAAGTTGTTAACGGATTTTCCAGAAACTCGAAATTGTCGCACGAGACAGACTGTACCTCGCAATTTATCATTTCGTGACAATTTTTTTTTTTCAGGTTACGCCGATTGCGTAATAATACTAATACTTGCGTAGTGCTGCGCGGCTGATCGATAAGTATTCTTACTTAATTTTATTAGTTTAGATTTGGCTGGAGGATCAATTTTAGTTAACGTAGGCGGCTTGATTGATGTGTCACATAGCTTCAAATAATAATTGATCGGTGTATGATCTGCGAAGTTGTGACTGCGGAGAATAAAAATTGACGATCTTCCAATTTTTGATAACAATAAACAATGTTTTTGAAAAGTATTTCAAATTTACATATTTGTGTAACTTGAGTATGCTTTTGTTTTTATTGTAATTATCGTTTTTGTTTTCGAATTTGGCAATATAGAAACAGTATAAAACAGATAATAGTTATTGTATTTTTCCTAAACTCAAACAAAACTTACGTTTCTTTTCGATCATAATGTCTAAACTCATTCCTGACATTTTCGCTTTAATAATTAAAGAGCTGGATAATGATTATAATACATTATTCAGATGTCTTTTAGTGAATAAACTTTGGTGTAAGTTAACTATACCAATATTATGGAAGGATTGTTTAAGTCATAATTCAAAACCAATATCTCATGAGAAAAATATTTCACTCATTAAAATTCTTTTCTCATTTTTATCAGAAGAATCAAAAAATTTACTTATTATGAATGAAATTAATTTATCATTTATACAAACACAAACACCATTATTCAATTATATAAGCTATTGTAAATCTATTATTACATTTGACGTAACAGAAGTTATTAAAAATTGTTTCGAATCGCCACTTTCACAAAATCAGAAAAATATTATAGATAAAGAATTTTACGATATGGTTTTTGATAAATGTTCTTATTTAAATCGTCTTGGAATTTTTCATAAATTATGTTATAAGAAATATGATATGGTGAATTTTATGAAATTAAAAGATAATCTATCAAATCTTGTTGAATTAACTTGTACACAATATATAGATGAAAGAATCTTTTATAACTTGGCAGAAATTTGCGTTAATATTAAAAAACTTGAATTAAGGGGTAATAATCAAAATAATAATCAAGGATTAATTAAATTAATTGAAGTTCAGAAGAAATTAGAATATTTCACTTATGGTGGAAAAAGAGGACAAAATTGGGATAATTTTTGTGAGGTGATAGGTCAAGCATTAATTAAACATAAGAACACACTTAAACATATTCATGGAAAAACTCGATTATGTATTCCTCTTAATATTTTATATTCTTTTGTAAATTTAGAAACTTTAACGTTAGGATATTCCACGAAAACTATGGATGGTTTACATTTAGTTAAATTACCAAAACTTCTAAAACTTAGAGTTTGTCATCTTACAGAAGTAAAAGAATTAATACAAAATACAAGCGGATATCTTAAAACGATTGATATTCATAATCAATTTGCCAAGAAAAATATTACAGAAGATATTATACAAATCGTTATAGCAATATATCAAAATTGTCCAAAACTAGAACATTTATGCATTCCTTTTGTCGATACAATCGATGATGCATTAGGAGATCTGTTAGTTCATTGTAATCAATTAGAATATATACAAATATATGGCGGATTCCCTTCTGATGAATCTTTGAATGGTGATGTGATATTAAAAATTTTATCAAAATCAACTTCAAAAAAATTGGAACGTATTGAAATGAAAGGTTCATGGAAATTCTCAGTTGATCCATTGAAAGAATTTTTAAATGATTTGAAAGAAAGAAATTATTCGCTTTATTTTAAATTTGGTTTAAATTATGATTGTCTTAATGAAGAATTTTCAAGTATAATTCAAAATTTTGTTGATGATAATGTTCTTAGAATTAATCCACTTGATTATTTATAATTTTTTTTTTTTGTAAAGATTTTTTTATTTTATTTTATTATGAAAAAGTGAGTTACCTACTTGTTATTTTATTATTTTAGTATATCAATATTATCTTAAATTAATATATCATATATGGATAACTTGAACTTTATTTCATTTTGTATTTTCTTATGTAATAGAAAATATGAAAATAAAAGAATAGTTTATATTGAATATTATTTAAAATTCGATACGGTTAAATTAATCGTTTAACAACCTCACCAGCATAAACGAGCAAAATAAAATTTGACATTTTTAATTCTTCCCAAAATTCTACCCTAATTCTGGTAATGTGACAATCACCAGCGGTGAGATATTAGCAATACTCCCGACTTTTTTTTCATTTAGGAGTTTTCGGGGCCGGAATTAAGATAATGTCAGTCAGTATCAACAAAAATTTGACCGGAAATTATCCATAAAAGGCAAGATCTACATAATTATCTTGCGCCTGACATTTTTTTGTATATTTAGCGAAGATTTATATATTTATATAAAGGACCTGTTTTTTCCCGTGAATGTATCATTTTCTTGGAATTTATAAAATATTCGGGTAAAAATTGGAAAATCAAAAACAACAAGCATTAACAGTCATTGTAAAAATCTAACAACACTTTCAACGAACGTTAATTCAAGCCTTAAGACAACACTGACGCCTGGGGCACAACATATACTATAAAGATATATTTTTTTATACAACTAGCAGTAGTTTAAATTTAATTTAATAATTTTTAAAAAAGCTTAAACTTGATCAAATAAACAAATACAGTACTTTGAAGACTTTCAGATTGGTAAAAAATAAATTTTTTAATATTGTATACAAATATATAAACATTAAATTAGCAAAAATCAAAATTAGGATTGAAGTTTCAAAATATTGTAATTTCTAAATTTTTTTTTTAAAAAAAGCATATGATATCTATATTTTTATTCAATAATTGTTAAGGCTACTTCTTTTAACTTTAGAATTATAGCAAATTAAAGTAATATTTACAAGAAAATTTAATTTAGTACTTAAAAATAAATTCATTATAATAACAACGTTTTCTTAATATATATAATTTAAATTTGTGACTATTCCTTGTTACATGTGAATTCTTATGTTATATTAAATACTTTAAAATTTGTTGATTTTCCAGGAACAAAATTAGCAAATTCAAGGTAAAATTATTCATTCTGCGAAGATTATCATAAGCATAATTACTAATTTACTATATAGCCAATGAATAAATAAATGCGGAAAAGAGTAAATTAATTAATAATAATATACATTTTGTAAGGAGAACATAGTAATAAAATGAAAAATAGATTTAAAAATATGTTTAAAAAAAATTTTTTCGTGCCATGAAATTATGAGTTGTAAAATTACAAACTAATGAATAATAATGTCTGAATTTTGACATTTCCGTCACTGAAGTTGTGCCACTAAATTACTTACTTCGATCTTGCGAAAGATCTTTTTCTAGATTATTTTCTTTAGATGATTTTGGAGTATCATCTATTATTTCTTCCATATCCTCATAATCATATTCGTTAACTTCTTCATATTCTTCTTCTCCATCATCATTTCTGCGAAGACGTTTCCCTACTACAGCTTTTGCCCACTCATTGAACGACAATATTTTTATTGACGCAATTGCTATTTTGTCATTTTCAATTTGACTGTGAGTTGAACTGAGTGGTTTCTCGGTTCCTACTGAACCACTAGAACCACTACTTAATCCTTTTTTTTTATCTTTTCTCTCAATGACTCGTACAATCTCAACATTAGCAGTAATTACATAAGATAATGCAATATATACTATGTTTTTTATAGTAATTGATTCTACTTCGGGCAGAACGTATATCATGTCCAAAATAGCTAGATAATGAAAGATAAAAGATACGAATAGTCGTAAGAAATTCCAATACATAACGGCTGTGAATAACGATCGTTTGCTTTTAATATTTGTTGAAACTTGAGCAGCGTTCTTATTAGCGTTGATTAATATTTGAACTAAGCGAAAGGTTATAAATATATCGATAAGAAATTCCACGGCAATTCCACTAGCGCCATAAGGTATAGGAGTAAAAGAGTCAACAAAACAACCAACTAAATCAACATCAGGAACGTATTCGGTAGATGCCCGTTGAAAAATAAAATATGGAATCTGAAAATAATATTGGATTATTAACTTTTTTTTTTTTTGTTTTTATAAATTATTAATAAAAAAACTTACCGAAAGTGCAACTTTAATTGAAAATAATATAATACTTATCCATTTATCTGACCCATAATTACGCATTTGTCTTAAACGCCATATCAAGAACGCCGATAATGATAATCTCATTAAAATATTTCCAACTATTATAGTTTTTAGAAGAGCATCACATTGAGTGTATGTAGCTATTTTTGGTGTCATATAAAGACCGAAATTTGCTCCCGAACGCACAATTTGAGCAAAATTGAAAATAATTTTTAGTATATTCGAAGTATTTGTCTGACGGGCTTTGTACATCATTGCCGAAATGAACAAATTATGAAAAGATATCTATAAAAAAAAATAAAATTTTAATACTTTAAAGAAATACTTTTTAATTGATATATATCAAATAAAAGATTTTACCATGATAATTGCACCTGACCAAAATCCTACATATGATTGAATCTGAATAAAGTTCATTTTGTATATTTTGTATAGAGATTTCCTGAAATTTTTTTTTAAAAAAAACTTTATAATGTTTGTATATAGAGTGGGTTCAAAATTTCCTGAAAATTTTTTTTAAAAAAAACTTTATAATGCTTGTATATAGAGTGGGTTCAAAAATTGAACATAAAAAATCTCAAAAGTTCTTATATTTATAATGAACAAAAAAGTTGATAGAAATTCTTACATAATATTATACATTTTTTATAGCAGAATAATACTAAGTAAATTTTTAAATTATTATATATATATATTTGTTAACCGTATATCGTACAATATTTTTGAATACTATTGCGTAATATAATGAAAATCATCTGTTTCAGGTGGTTATTTTTAGAAATTTATATTTACACAGTCATTGATAATCATTACTATACATTGAAATTGCAAAACAATAAATTGCCTTTCTGAGCTTTTCTTAACAGTTAAAATAATATTGAATTCTTGAATAACATATTTAGAAAAAAAACAATATTCATTTATGCTACAAAAAAGTCAACATTGAGACATTGCCTAAAATTGAAAATCTTCCCGAATAAAAAAATAAAATTTATATTGTGAACCTTGTGTTAAATTTTTTTGAGGAGTTTCGTTGTACTATTTGTGCAAATTCCTTTTTTAGCATCATGTGTAGTAGTGAAATTTCGTCATGTCATACATGAGGTTATTCAGTAGTTTAAATTTGCAAATCTGTACGGTGTAGGGTGTATGATTTATTAAATCATTGGCATGCAGAAAGAGGTTTTATTTATTGATAGATAAAAGTATATCTTTCCCAAGATCAAATAAAGATGGGTAATGGTCCTACTCAGTTCTACTCGGTCTGATCTAAGCCGGTCCCAGTCTTTGTAGGACTGGACCGCGGTCCTTGCTCATTTGTGGCGCAGTAGGACCGAACCAAAGACCGTCTTACAAAAATGATTTTTTTCTTTCATATGAACGGTTTGGAGCCTCAATTTTACAGGTTTTTCTTAAAAATATATTTTTTTCTTCATATTTTTTAATTTCATAATTGACCCGCAGTTTACGTCAATCCCTGTTCATATGATTTTAATTACCCAATAAAATTAATGATATTTTTACGTCATTTTGAACCGCAGTAGCCCAATATAATTAAATCGCCTAATAGTTTAAGGTCATTTCGGACCAACAGTAAATTTGAAACATTATAAAAATTTTATACATCTATTAAATATAATACTGCGCTCCGAAATCAATAATATCATTAGATTGTCCTATATATACTATATATATTATAGAGCCAGTACACTACAGTACGGTTGATTTTTTTTTTATATGACAAATAGCCACCAAATGACATACATTTTATGTACGTTTCTATAGATTCCGTATACAAATTCCGTATATTTAATAAGTAATTCATTTTAGAACATTTTTTTAAAAAACTAATGTATAAGAAATGTATACGGAAAAAATTAATCATGCGGAATGTATACGGAATTTTTAAACTTAATATTTTTAGAAGATAATTTTACAAAAATTCCGTATCATAACACGAGATCACATGATTGTTTATTGTTTTGTTATGATACGTTTTTTGTTTTTT